GGAACCATTTTAGGAACATCTGGGGGGACCAGGAGCTGCTGACAGATAGGAACATCTGGCAGGAACCAGATGGGAACATCTGGGGGGACCAGGATTTGCTGCCTGATGGGAACAACTAGCAGGGACCAGATGGGAACATCTGGGGGGACCAGGTGGGAACATCTGGCAGAGACCAGATTGAACATTTGGGAGGACCAGATGGGAACATCTGGGGGGACCAGGAGCTGCTGACTGATGTTCCCATCTAGAGGGACCAGATTGGAACATTTGGGGGGACCGGATGGGAACATCTGACAGGGACCAGATGGGAACATCTGGGGGGACCGGATGTGAACATGAGGAAGAGACCTGATGTGAACATCTGGAGGGGGGGGCCCACCTTGAGGTCGGACACCTCGGTGTAGCACTGCTCGGAGCGCGTGTGGTCGGACAGCTGAACGTTCCAGAAGCAGGGCAGCTGGTGCACCAGCACCGGGTTCTGCTTGATGAAGGCGTTGAAGATGTCCTGCAGACAGACGGGGCAGCTATAAGAACTAAACCAAATCCTCCTCCCTACTCTTACTATTTCAAAATAAAACAGGAAATGACAACAACAGGACCTAACAAAATAAAACCAAAAGCCCCAGAAACTCTGGAGAATACCAGAGGAGAAGCTCTCAGAACACAGGAGGGGAACCAGGGGCAGGTGGACAGGACCAGGAAACAAGAGGGGTGGTCGAATTTCAAAATAAAACAGGATATGAGAAGACCAGAACCTAACAAAGTAAAACAAAAGCCCCAGAAACTCTGGAGAAAACAAGAGTAGACACCAGAAACAGGAGGGTAACCAGGAGCAGGTGGACAGGACCAGGAAACAAGAGGGGAGCAAGAATTTCAAAATAAAACAGGAAATGAGAAGACCAGGACCTAACAAAACAAAACCCCCAGAAACGCTGGAGAAGACAAGAAGAGAAGCTATCAGAACCAGGAACAGGTGGACAGGACCAGAAAACAAGAGGGGAGTTGGAATTTCAAAATAAAACAGGAAATGAGAAGACCAGGACCAAACAAAACCAAACGAAAACCCCAGAAAATCTGGAGAAGACCAGAGGAGACACCAGAAACAGGAGGGGAACCAAGAGCAGGTGGACAGGACCAGGAAACAAGAGGGGAGCAAGAATTTCAAAATAAAACAGGAAATGAGAAGACCAGGACCTAACAAAACAAAACCCCCAGAAACGCTGGAGAAGACAAGAAGAGAAGCTATCAGAACCAGGAACAGGTGGACAGGACCAGAAAACAAGAGGGGAGTTGGAATTTCAAAATAAAACAGGAAATGAGAAG